GGGCAGCCAAATGTCCTCCACTTGGGAGAGGGAGGTGGTTAGAAACAAACTTCCACTGACAGTCCAAACTAACTGCAGTGGGTGACAGTGGGAGATCATTTAGATAAACTCTACAAGCAGCTTCAAGGTAGGGGGGGGGGGATTATGATGAATAACAGGAGGAATTGGTGAATAACCGACTAGGAAAGGGAAAGGCTGAACTATAGGGCGCTATTCCATGCAGCTTCCTCACACACTCGCTGCTTCCCTTCACTCACTGCTTCCCTTTACTTACTCTTCCCCTTCACTTGCTCACTCGCTCTCAACACACACATACATACAGAACACACGCATCTATACCCCAGAAGCAAAACTACTCCAATTTAAACACACATTTCATCACTTTACAGAGACGTTTGCATTATTGCAACAGGCGAGAGTACACTTTCACAACAAACATTTGTACACCTTGAAATAATAATTCGTATCTATTCAACAAAAACAAACAATAGAGTTACAAAAAGCAAAACACATTATTAAGAATGATCCAAGAGTGGCTCCGGCCTAGTCCACCTTAAAGCCGAAGTCATTGCTACTGAAGCATTCATCTCACGGTAAAGGGAAGGTTGTACCACGATCATATTACGACACGTACGTGAATATTCTCCAGAGGCAACAGCCGAAATTGATTGACGTTTAAGAAGTAAGTGAAACGTGTCCAAGCCGTCTCTCATGGTCTTATGAAACTGCGCCCCATCAGTTAACCCACATGTCTATTTGCATATCACTTTGCGTACAAATTTGCATGACAATTTACATACCTTAACTAGTTCGGGGTCACATCATGAAAGGCCGCCAACAAACGTTTATCTCCAAGTAAATTTTTTTTTTGAGCTCCGCGGTACTCAATTTTAGAGCAAACGTTAATCAGTCCTACTTTGACTGACAAGGGTTAATTAAATTATTAAATTAGCGTCGTATGTTTTAATTTACGTTCAGCTGCTCTTCAGTTCATCGACTCGATTCTATACATGAATGAGTTTAAGAGTACTGCTGATATTTGCTTAAAATCTGATAATAGTACAATTACCACATAGCTTAATAAAGGTACAGGTGTTGGTTTTATTAAAACTCACCAGGTTAATGATGTTAGAGAGTTTAAAAGAATTTGGTATAAAACCTATGTTGTTCCTCTTACTTTTGATTAAATTGGAACAAGCTATACACACCATTAAGTGATTTGAAGACATTTACATTCTATCTGGAAATGTATATAATTTTACCCCTGGTGCCCCACCTTCAATTATATATAGTCTTTCCAAACTAGAAGTTTGGATCCTCTTTTAGACCTATTTAGAGAAATAGTAGCAGATTTAACTTTAAAATTTAAACTTTAAAAATTGGTTTATAATTTAAAATACAAGTTTTAGTTCCTACCTTGCATGTTGTATGATTACAAATTCTTAAAGCCCCACACTAAAAGCAGAAGAACTAGTCATTAACCCACGAACAAAAAATAATTATTCACTTCAACTATTTGGACTGGATGGTAGAGACAACAGTCTCGCTTCATGCAGGTCAGCGGTCAATTCCCCGCTCGTCCAAGTGATTATGGCCACCATTCCTTACCACCCATCCCGTCCCAAATCCTTATCTTGACCCCTTCCAAGTGCTATATAGTCTTAATATCTTGGCGCTTCCCCCTGATAATTCCTTCAATCTCCCGACTAAGAGAAAGGAACAGAACTACTACAACCCGAAGGATTGAGATCCAAGAATCTGGATCTCAATCCTTCGTTTTTGCCCTGATGTACAGGGCAAAAACGTCAGCCATACCATTGCACCCGAGTTACCATTGGTCAATTATCAACATAACTAAGTATGAAACTAACCTTCCCCACCTAGTTACTTCCTCTTCCAAAAGCCCATAACTTGACACTTTTGTACGCAACCCAGTTATACATATCTTAAATTGTCACGGTCGAGGACCGGGCCGTTGGGACTTCGATTCCCGGAACCATCAATAGGCAAGGTCATTCCTCACTTCAGAATGAGAATTGTAGGTTCTAAACGTTGAGTAAACAATAATACATATATTACATTATAGTTAATTTTGCTAAATTTTTCTTCAATCCAGAACAAAAAAATGACATTTTGGAGGAATCCTCGTATCAATAAACCAAGATGTAAGAGCAGTAGTTAGAGGGATAGAAGCCCTAAATAGGAAATAATCAACGCTGAATATGCAGTCATATTCAGTGAATATGAATATGCAGTCATATTCAGTGAATATGAATATGCAGTCATATTCAGTGAATATGAATATGCAGTCATATTCAGTGAATATGAATATGCAGTCATATTCAGTGAAACATTAAAATGAAAACCTGCTGCCAATATACTCCATTATATATAAATAAATACTCAAAACACGAAGCAACAATGCCTTGTGAACGTGTGTCAATGATTGAATGGTACAATTAAGACTTAATTTGCAGGATTGCATAGCCACTAACACGTATTACGTTACGGACAAGGCTAATACATACTTGGCATTACATTTAAAATTAGAAGATCAAAGTCTTAAAGAAAATGCAATGGATAACGAATAATTAAATAATGCATAAATGCAATGAATAACGGTAATTAAATAAAAAAATTCAAGCCGAAAATGCAGTGCGGGAGAGTGGCATCAAAATCTAAATTCCGCTTTATTATACATTTTTAATTACCGTTTTTTTTTTAATAAATTATTTTTCTTCTTCATTTGGTTTAGTCGTCCATTATACCCGAGCGAGACGGCCCGAACTTATATGCGTTATCGACACTGAACAACCGAGAATTTTTCTTTTTGATATATTGTAACGACCCGTTCGAATTTAATTAAAAACTAACCAGTTGTCTCAACTGGTCAACTGCAAGAATATTCTGTCTCTTGCAACATCGTTACCTCATTTAATCATATTTACCCCCTCCCTCAAGTGCATACAATGAGTAATTCACTCGAGATTGTCGTTTTATTGCCGGTATTGAGAGTTCATTTTGCATTGTTCGTTATCTGCGAGACACTCGAGACAACGAGCCTCGTTAGTTTAATTAACGGTGGGACTAGTGACTATTCAGAGAAGGTTCATAAAGAGAGATTATCAGTACAAACGGCAAAGTTCACTCTATACGAACCTGGGAAATTATATTCAATTTTAGAGACGGGTTTCTTCTAAGAGCACGAATTGAGTTTACTTCAAGACGTCAACACCAACTTACGATTTCCCAATATAATTTAAATCAAAATTAAGAACGAGGAATACTGTAAGGAACAATGTACTTACCATAAGCTTTACGATAAGTCCCGCACAATCTCCATCCACAGCGATCCACAATTTGCCTTGTAACACATTTTTCCCACAACACTAACCAAGTCCACCAACACACAAAGTTCAACACACACGGTTTACCAACACACCAAGTCCACCAACACACAAAGTTCAACACACACGGTTTACCAACACACAAAGTTCACTAACACACAAAGTTCAACACACACAGTTTACCAACACACAAAGTTCACTAACACACAAAGTCCAACACACACAGTTTACCAACACACAAAGTTCACTAACACACAAAGTCCAACACACACAGTTTACCAACACACAAAGTTCAATAACACACAAAGTCCAACACACACAGTTTACCAACACACAAAGTTCAATAACACACAAAGTCCAACACACACAGTTTACCAACACACAAAGTTCAATAACACACAAAGTCCAACACACACAGTTTACCAACACACAAAGTTCACTAACACACAAAGTCCAACACACACAGTTTACCAACACACAAAGTTCAATAACACACAAAGTCCAACACACACAGTTTACCAACACACAAAGTTCACTAACACACAAAGTCCAACACACACAGTTTACCAACACACAAAGTTCACTAACACACAAAGTCCAACACACACAGTTTACCAACACACAAAGTTCACTAACACACAAAGTCCAACACACACAGTTTACCAACACACAAAGTTCACTAACACACAAAGTCCAACACACTAGGTGTTCACCGTCTATTGACAAATCGCAAACTGAGTACTGGACTCTACCCATTGCTGACAAGATCAATTTTAGTCCCTATGCCACCTGCTGAGGCGACATAAACCCTGTAATGTGTTAACGAGCAGTTTATACCCTGTAGTGACCTCGTACATTATTGGTTTTTTATTACGCGCGACAAACTTTGTTAAACAGGGCCTCTTAAGGGAAATTTAACACATTTACTGCAAATGGGGTGGGGGGTGGGGGGATGGTAGTTTGTCCTCCCCTCTCGCTAGGTTTAATTGCCTCGTCCAGTTCTATCTAAATTAACAACAGTGTCATACTATATCGTTCACTATTGCTGTTACATCTTAAATTTGATAACTAAGCTTTTTTTCCAATATGCTGTTTAAGCAATTATCAAAAGACACCAAGTTGGGGAGCATACGTAAATAGGCTGCGTAAATTGGCAGTTTTTTTTATACGAGTCCGGATCCAAAGTTAACTATTAGTTTTAATTTTAATAAACATTAAAATGGGCTCTGCAGGGTAATGTCTATGAAGGAAAGATCTATTACATGAAAGCAATTCTGATCTATTAAGGGGATCACCTTTTATATCGAGAATAATGGACGTAATGGCATATTTCTGTTTTCAGTAATTTATTTTATGCCGTTATCAGGCCCCTAAAGAAAGGTTTAAGAGTTTATTTTCTTCATAAACTTAATAGTGTAAACAGTTTCAGTAGACCAGATACCCTTCACCTGGTCCTAATGAGCAGTTTAAACAAGAGTTTAGGGTTTCTAGGTATACTAGTATATTAAGAAGTAAATGGTGATCCTTATCACGGAGTCTCTATATTAAGTTACAGCCAAGACTCAGCCAAACAAATAGTTTAGTTTTAAATTTTCTTACTCTAGAAAAATTTCAGGTTGTTCATTGAAACATAAGTAATGGAAAGCAGTAAAATTTGTGTATCTTTTAGTAAATACTAACAAAATATACTAACTTTTGTTTAATACACAGATAGTAACAAAGTATGAATCAAGATACCATGTACACAGTGATGCTATGTTCAACAACATCGGCTCAACAGTTCAACAAATTCATTCATCTGCAGAAATAATCGCGTCGAAATAAATCGCATTTTTTCTGGTACACTCTGGCCTGAAAAATAAATCAAATAAATTTTATATAGATGAAATGTTCATCATACACATTTGTCTAATCCTCATTCACGATGTGTAACGCATTTTAAAGTAATAAGCCTAATTAAATGCTGTCCAAATTTGCCTATTAGAATTAAAATTTTGCATGCTTAGGAATATTTATTATCAGGGATATCCCAGAAAGTTCAAATTAAGCAGCCAAAATGGATTTTAACATGTTTTTAAAGATTGCCTAGATAAGATTCGTACATCTGGTTGAATGCACATTAAACTGGGTCACTATTCAGGTCAGGGGGGAAGAAAAACCCTGATTTTAAACCTCCATTGCCTTGCCTTGCGGACATACCCCTTTTTTGGGAAAGGCTTCAGGAGTCAACCTCGAGGAAAAATCCGGAGTTGGAGCCCCTAAGGCAGTTCGTTGTTGACGTCGACCTCGTTCTGGCAGCTCCTGCGACGTTGCTGGAACCATGTGTATTGGCATTTGCCTTTCTATTGGATAATTTCAGCAACGTGGAGAGGGGGGAACCTGCTGCATGGGTAACAGCTTCTCCATATCTACCTACCCAGGCTTTGCGCCCTGTCAGGGCGCAACTCCATAGTTTTCAGAGACTGAAGGATGCCTACTACTATACTATTCAGATCAGGGCCTAAACACCTCTGGATTGAGGCCATTAACTACGAACCAGTAAATGTACGAACCAGCTAAATAGTAAACTTTAACTTAACAGTCAATAACTAAAGCTGGATTAACTGTTAGCTAAATCATTAATGTACAAAACGAAAAGTTGTGGATATACTTTCATACATAAAATATACACCGTAGTAAAATGTGTGGCAAATTTTCTGGCTACGCAGCACGAGCAGTTGATACTGAAACAGCCGCAGGGTACGAACGAGTGGCCGCTCGTACAGGGCAGTCCAGCCGTCTTGCAGCAGGGTGTCGCCATTGCGCCGCTTGCAACACGCGGCCCTCACTCTTGCATGAAGCTGTACTGGTACAGGAGTTATTAGTTGCATTGCTTTGCATCAATCACACAATAACAAGAACCAGTGCCTTCATGGTAGGTACTTTAAAGAACATCTCCTGTAGTACCTCATGAGACTAAGATGCATATATTCAAAATAAAATTTCTAACAAAAATTATATATAACAAATATAACTTACTTGCAACATAATGTGTGGAAGTGTTTAAAGAAATCGAGGTACTCACTGGGTTAACTATTCATCCTGAATAATCCACCAGTTAACTGTCATTTCGTCTGCTCGAATTCCCTCTCACAATCTTTGAGATAAATACCAGAAATTAGTTCATATAACAAAAATCATTCCAACAAAATAATACTCTCACCCTCCCGCCCCTCCATCTAAAGTCTTTTAAACTATAGCAAAACCCACATACCATTTCATATGACGATAAATAGAGCATTATGTACACAACAACAATCTGCTTGTGCAAGCGTCCTTAATACTACAGAGCAAACTCTACTAAAGTCCATGACTAACGAGTGTTTTTAAACAAATTTGCATTGTTATATTACTTCAGTAATTAATTAATATTCGGGTAATAAATCTTAAAGTTCAGCATTCAATTAAGTTGGTGTTAAGTAGCCGGACCAGAGAAGTACAGGAGGTAACAGTACTGCTGACGACTTTTAAGACAGTCGGCTAGCAAACTGCCATTCGTCATATTGTTTTGACCACTTAAAACCCGTCTTCGAACATTAAATACAATTTAGGAACAAAATTGTTCCCTCAACCAGGGATACTTGCATATAATTAGTTTTCTAACTCAAACACTCGACTGTTAATGTGCGAATCAAAACATAACACAAAAAATATACGAAATGTATACGAAACATATTACTTAATCGGAAAGTTTTGTTACAATAATTTAAAACGCCAACTTGGAGGACACACAGATATGCACAATGTTCGATCCTGGTGATCTCTGGGAGACTGAGAGCTATTGTCGACTTGCTGGTCCCTCCGGAACTATACATATGCAACCCGTCCTCAGACCAAGTCCATTCCATCCAGTGGTCGACCCCAAAGACGCATTCGTCAATTTTAACATCCTGTTCATTCCCAACAGAAATTTTCTAAAATATAAATTGGTAGTTTTAAACACTAGCATAATGTGCATATTTAAGCATTGGTTAGGTTAGGAGTTTAGTTTATGTTGGCTATTATTCGTACTTGTAGTACGTGGGCAACTCGTCCTAGACTCAAGTCCATTCTATCCAGCGGTCGACCCCACAGACGCATTCATAAATTTTAACATGCTGTTCATTCAAAACGAAAATTTTCTCAAATATAAATTAATATTATAATATATTAGCATATTGTGCATATATAGGCATAGGTTAGGTGAGGTATTTAGGTTCTGTTGGCGATTATTTGTTTTTGTATTACGTGGGTGAAGCATTTATAGCGTTGTGGATTGAACCAAATTCGCCAGTGAATCACTTGTTTCGGAAGTGTTCGAAAGTCAGCAGTTGTGAGTCGTGTGTAAACTGTTTTTCCATTCATAAATAGCGGGTTTGGCGGGTGCATGGAATCACTTTTGGATCTTTGTCAGGAGGACGGGCTGTACGTGGGTGAAGCATTTACAGCGGTGTGGTTCGAACGAAATTCGTTAGCGAAGCACTTGTTCCGGAAGTGTTCGGTATGAGTCGTGTGTAAACCGTTTTTCTTAACAGGGGGTTTAGTGGGTGCATGGAATGAACTTTGGCCTTTGTTTATAGGGACGTACTGCATTTAGAGAAAGAGTTACTAGAACAGAAGACTTTAGCGAAGCACTCCTCGAGAAGAGTTCGAATCTCCTCATCAGTTGTGAGTCGTGTGTAAACCGTTTTTCATTCAGTAACGGGGTTTGGCGGCTGCATCAACGAGTATTTGAACTTTGTTTATCAGGAGGGATTTCAACAGTAGGAAAGTCGTGTCATCATTAACAACCACTAAGGTGCTCATTGATCAGCTCGCCCTCATTAACAAAGGCCAAATGCTCGCCAATCTAGCCCCCCAAACCCGCTGTTTATGAATGGAAAGCATTTTTCCAATCCATCCTCGACTCAAGTCCATTACATTCAGCGGTCGACCCCACAGACGCATTCATACATTTTAACATGCTGTTCATTCAAAACGGGAATTTTTCTCAATTATAAATAAATATTATAATATACTAGCATTTTGGGTATATATGGGCATAGGTTAGGTTAGGTTAGGTTAGATGTTTAGGTTCTGTTGGCGATTATTTGTATTTGTTGTTCGTGGGTGAAACTTTTACAGCGTTGTGGTTCGAAAAAAAATCATCAGTGAAGCACTTGTTCCGGAAGTGTTCGAACGTCAGCAGTTGTGAGTCGTGTGTAAATCGTTTTTCATTCATGAACAGCGGGTTTGGCGGGTGGATGGAATCACTTTTGGGTCTTTGTTTGGGGGACGGGCTACATTATTCACACGACTTACAACTGATGACATTCGAACATTTATTGAACGGTGCTTCGCTGATGACCTCTGCTCGAATCGCCGCTCTGTAAACAGTCTACATGACGCACTGATAAATTTTAACGAATTGGGAAATAAAATACGTGTGATCACATTTAAATAATAATTGTAATATACATTAATGTTCTATAATAGAGCTCTTGTATATAAGGTGTAATATACAAAACTTGAACTGCAGTGATATGTTTAACAATATTTTTTATATTAAACCTTGAGATGCTGTCATATATATGTGAATTAGCTTCTTAACACAGACTAATAAATGTGTCTCTTATCATTTAGCATGTCTGTAACAATTTGAAACGTCTTACATCTCATCCCAACGGTATATATCTCATCCAAACGGAATAAAAAAAATCATCCAAACGGAATTAATCTCATCCAAACGGTATAAATCTCATCCTGACAGCGCTAATCTCAATTTAACAGCAGAAATCACATGTTTATGTAGCCGTCACGAATCAACAGAAATCCCGAACACTGGCTAGACACGACCGTTCGCTGCGACTGCTCACGAACACCCACGTTACAATCGACTTGAGAATGGTCCAGGACGGACCGAAACGTCGTCGTCCCTTCATTTTCTAGTGTGTGGATTATTCAACACTCACGGTACACATTCTGTAGTCACAACCCCACAAACAGATTGTATAATTGCTTCTCCCCTTCCCCCTCACCTGGATAATTTACCCCACTCGACCAGGTACAGTGACTAATTAATCGTTAAACTCTCAATCAGCCGCCCTCTTCAAACATTAATGGCTCGAGAAATGAATCTTTACGTAGTTTTTCTCGTAGCCCGAATGAAAGAAGCAACTGCTTTAGATTCTCGAAGTCTTAGAAATATTTATATAAGCTTTGGTTCCTTTGATTTTGGGTTTGAATAGCATTTGGTTAACTCAGCGTAACCTTCACTTTTTTTTTTTGTCCTGACAGAAAAAAAGTGGGGATCCCGTTCCCAGTTAATGGATTAGATAACCTTTAAGTTTCTTTGTGCTGGTTATTTTGCCTCTTTTCCTTAAAAGGATTAACATGTCATTCCTAAATAGCCAGACACCCCACGACAAATAATAGTAAGGAAGAACCTTTTGGTATAATTCTCTTTGAACGATTTTTGCATAACTTTTTAAATAATTCGTCCTTGATAATATTAACGTATTATATTTGCTACATGAATTGCTAACAAAATTAAGTTTTGTCTATGCTAAGCGGTACTCAAAAAATAGTTAAGTTAGGTCATACTGCAAAACCAGAAATGGTTCAGATATAGTATAAAATAAACATATATTTAGATGTCAAGCAATTCATACGTTGACGTATGAATTGAATGACTCATTCCCATTGAATGATCCATTCAGAATGATCTGAATGGGTCTGACGCGTTTTGGAAATCCGTGTTGGGGTTAAAATATGTAACATGTTTCTAAATAGGCAAAGTGGTCTGTGCAACTCAACAGGTCTGCTGTGAACGAAAGGAGTCGATTATCAAACAAAGGCTAAATAGGGGTTTTAGCTTGAAGAATTCAGATACAAATAGGAGCTTTTTTGAACCGGCCAATTGGCCAAGGGCAATTGCGAAACTGAAGGACTGTGACTTTTATAATAATGATCTTTTTTGTACTAATCCTACTATTGTAATGTACTTTTGTAATGTACTTTTTTGTACTAAATAATAATTTTTGTACTAATTATAATAACGAAATATATACTAAATTCCCCTACATCAATGACTCTTTCTTTTCATTGACATATATTACAGAACCCATCTCTTGTATAATAATAATAATAATAATAATAATTAATTTTATTATAATTTATTAGAATTGTTTAACTCTTCGCAGAAAATTATTTTCCCTCCTATAATTAACAAGACACAGAACAATTGTGTCATGTTAAATCACTTGAACCAGGACGCAAACACCTGAAATGAAATCAATGTATACAAAGGATACAAAGGAGAGAGAGCTCAATAAACCTCACTTGCTGGAATGTTGATCAAACCGGCACTGTTAATATTAACCTTTGTAATCAATCCAGAAATATGAGTTGAGTTAAGAGGAGTTCACCCACCGTAATAACTTATATTACAAAGTCGCTACTTTTCACAGTAGGTTGAATTTGTAACGATAGTTACCGTGTAAACAAAAAAACATACTAGTTACGATGACAGGTAGGTAATTGGCGACCAGTTTTGCCTCCCAGTGTAAATTATATTATTGTTATTACTTTAGCTTTTGTGCACTACGTTAGACAGTAGAGAAACTTCTTGCGATAAATCTCAAACTATTCACATATATTCCTCCTTAACGCATGAACTTGGTAATCTACTCAGCACTAAACTGGCGTATGAAATCATTAAAAATGTTCATAACTTACATTTAAACATATTTTGTTTTGATTTTGAAGCTATAAAACAGAACCTTTATTACGATAGCGTTAAGCTGAGCTGAATATTCACCAAACATTCACGTTTTGTCGACATATAGAAAATAAATTAACTCAAGTCATACAAATAATCACGGAAATTAGTTTATTAATAATTTATCTAACGACGTAAAAACGGAGGAATATTAAATTATCTTTAAATCATCATTTAAATAGGAAAATAGGAACAGAACGTTAACTTTTCCTGGGTCAGTATATGACACGTATTAAACTGGTTTCTTGTGCTCCTGTAGTGTCAATTAGTGTATAATTAATTATACAGGAGTGTCCATTAGCTCGTGTAAATGTGGATGATATGAATTGCTATAAATATCATCCATTGATGCACTTTAGGTATGAATGTTATCTTTAGGTGTCTTTTCCACTGTTGTCTAACCATTGGTCGGTATTGGTCGGCACTGGTCGGTAGTAGCGCCTCGCTTGTTGCCGAGCCGGCAGGTTCGTTCTCCAATCGTCCAAGTGGTTAGACGATTGGGGAGTCCACTTCATCCCCTTAAAGTGCATTATAGGCATACTAACTTAAGGTTTTCTCCTAATAGTTACCTTACTTTCCACTGTGTTATGTCTTTAGTGGCTTAAGTCAATCATCAAACCGTGCAATAGAGCTGTTGATAAACTCTCACGGAATTTACCCCCTGATGAACAGCCAATCGCTTCAGTTTCTATCATCCATAATGAATCAGAATGCGTGTAGTTTAATCATTCAGAATATACCATTATACGCAGTCAGAAACACATAACGTGATATATCTTTGTGAAAGCCAGTAGAGCAGGATGGTGGGCTCGAACCTGCGTCTGAGTTGCCCCCCCCCCAAGACATAAATGTCATCCTGCTGTCCTGCTCCTTCAGCCTTGGATAGCAGTTTCCAAGTTATTATTACACATACATAGACCTAAATCTTTCAGTGTACATACAATTTAATTCAGAAGTCTGAGATTTCTCAGACATCTTCCTCAGCTGATCACCTGCTGGCTATATCAGGCAACATCCTGGTGAGTATAGAGTGTGTATACTCTGATACACTACATCATTATCTCATGAAGAAACATTTGTATTTTTGGAAG